TCTAGTTTGTATTCTCGTCGCGTCTTTTTTGCTTTATGTTTTAAGATTTTTTGTTATAATTTATAAGTGTATCGCATACAAAGAATAAATATAACATGAATACTTACTTCTATTTTTATTTTTGTTCCGTCACATTTTTTTGTAAATTTAAAGTCAAAAAAGTAATAAATAAAAAGCTACATTTAAATTAATGTGACGCAATTTCATTTAAAAAAGGCGCACATATTATTATTTTATATAGATTAAAACTTAAGAGGTCGAAGGCTTCGGTAAACAAATTATGCCAGAGTCAATGTTAAAGATTCCATTCACATCTTATCTGTAACTAAGCTATTCTTCCAGTGATGTGGGTAAGAAAAAAAGATGGAAAACAGCTGGCTATAGTTGACGGTTTCACTTTCTACGTGGATGGGAGAACAAAGCACACTGTGACCTGGAGATGCACATCGGGCCATTTTTGTAGAGCCCGATTCGTGGTCGACAATAATTTTCTTGTAATCAGGTCCAACTTGCTTCATGATCACGCTCCACCAAGATACGTGTTGCGGGATGGAATTTTTATTAAAATTTGAATCGTGTTTGATGCTCATTTTATAAAACTTAAAATTTAAATTAAAAACTAACAAATTCTTAAATTTTCTTTTTCACCTGTTTAGCTACTTATTAGGGAGTAAAGAAAATTATTATGTGAATATGTAAATATGTATATATTATGTTGTTTTATATGTACATGATTATAATTTTAATTATAGGTACATCTAACATAAGTAATTACAATAACAATTAATAAACCAATATACAATTTTTTTATGTACGTATCATCAGTTTCTGGACGGATTATATTTTTTTTTTTTTGATAAGAGAGATTAAAACAAGACTTAAAATATTATTGAAACGTTTTCAATAAATCAATTAAAACATTTAAACATGGAACTACTACACTTATATACGTGTACATGGAAACTTAACTTTTAAAATATGATGTAAAGCACATTTGTAGGTTAACATACATGTGTACGTACTAATGCACAAGAACACCGGTAGGAGGCTGTCACTCGAGAATATTTCTTCCCCGTCGGTTGTCGGTTCTTCGTACCGGTAGGCAAAGTGTGGTGTGGTCCCCCACTGGATGGAGTGACGATCTGGTAAGACATGCAGGAAGTCAATGGATGCAAGTGGCTCAGGATCGTGCTTTGAGGCATTCCTTAGGGAACCAGACGTTCACAAGTCCACTGCTAAACATAGGCCATGTTTAGCAGTGGACTTGTGAAGGTCTGTAATGATGATGATGACGAATGCAAAACACTTTCATTCCTTGTTTTTGGACCTCCGTCACATAGTCCTTAAACTCAGGTTTTCCTCTATATCATTGCAGTAACAAACATTTTAAGTGCTAGAGCCACGCTGCATCTATATTATGGTTGTAGCACGAATGGGTCGGCTCGACCATAGTAGGACCACGCTCTCACAGAATATCAGCGTAAAATAGCAGCTTAATACTGCTGTGTTTCGTATGGTGAATGTATAGAACCGTGTAGAGACGTTTTTTATTGGGAACGAGGCATTCCATCTTAGTCCTCAGTGGTGACAATGCATTTGCATTTTGATTCTCAGTTGTGGATAAATGTAGATATCTATGGGCCACAGCATCCACTTACCTTTGTCACCCAATTTTGCAAATAAAAAAGAAAATCTATCTGATGCTACTTATCTAATGTAGCCTATGTAAATCTGAAGCCTCTGTCTGCTCAGAGCACTAATACCTGGTTTCTATATTTAAGAAACTTTATCAAAAAGTGCTTGTGAAACAGTTTTTATTCGAAATCATTGTCATAACAGCCCTTCATAAGTCCACTGCTGAACACAGGCCTCACCCAATAGCCACCTGGATTCATTGACTTCCTGAATTACTTAATAAGTGTTCACTCACATTTCGCTTACTGTTACGAAGCTGCCGTTCGAGAACTTATCTTCCCCATCGGTTGTCGGTTCTTTGAGCTATATGATCGGTCCTCTTCCACTTTTGCTTAGTGATCCGTTGGATTATGTACGGTTACGACTTAAAGCGGAACAATTAAATCCTAAAATATCGCATAAAGGAACATATGTTATTATATGGTCTTCATCGACGCTGCGGGAAGACTTAAGTCTGTGAACAATTACTGGATCGCTTCCTCTACATTAGATTTGATAGACAACAAACCCTTAAACGAATACCGATTTCTTTTCATTATACATACAAGCTTATAGTTTTTATGTAATTTTTATTAATTTATATTTAAATGGATCTAATTTGCAAGTAAAAATAATTTATGCTTGTGTTTATATAGAGAGTCGGCTGGGGCTAGCCATCCGTCACAGTAACGAATCGAGTTAACCATGTTGTCGGTATATCCGGCTTTGACTGTATTATATACCTTTGATAATTTGTAAATGAAATTATGACATAGCATTTAAGGAATAAATAAAATACCTCAGTTATTCTTGCCGGTTCTACTATAGGGCCTTTTCTTTCGAACCGGTGAAGATTTTGACGTTCATAAGAGTTTTAAAGAAGCTTTTATCTCACAAATTTTATGTTGACTTATTTCGCAATTTATTGATTGAAAAGTTTTGACTTTAACTTTGAATAATCTCATGACTGCGCCAATATCTTCACAGTGCGATGGGTGAGGAAGACATGTGGCAAACAGTTGGCGATACTGGACGGATTCACTTACTACCTAGACGGCAAAAGCACTCTAACGACGACTTGGAGATGCACATCAGCTGGCCCGTGCAAGGCCCGATTTGTGATCTCCAATCATGAAATGCAGATCGTCCGAGGCAACCTTAACCATTCTCACAAAAAACCGACTTTTGTTATACGTAATGGAATATTCATTAAAACTTGAAACTTGTATTTTGTTTTAGAATTATGTGTATATAATGTACCTAACTATTTAATTAAAACCCTATATAAATTATTCATAGTTTGTTCATATTGTTCACAGTACAATGGGTAACGAAGGAAAGCGGCAAACAGCTGGCGATCCTCGATGGATTCACGTACTATCTCGATAGAAGAAGCAACTTAACCATGACATGGAGATGTACTTCAGCTGGCCAGTGCAAGGCTCGCTTCGTCATCTCCAATGATCCATTGAAGATAATTCGTTGCAACCTTTACCATATGCACAGGAGACCATCTTATGTTATACGCAACGGAATTTATATAAGAACGTGAAATAAGCTTTATTCCGCGATTTTCTTCGGAAATTTCTTCACTACTATACATTGAAAATTGAATATTTTAATATTAAATTATATAACTAATTCCTGATGTAAAATTTCGTACTTATGGTTAAGTTTTTTTAATTACTATGGCTAATAAATGTTAGTACTAAAAGAATGAACTAATTTTTTTCAAATGAAATTACGATTAAAAGTAAGTGCTAAAATTAATATAATAAACATGGTAGATATGTTGATGTTATATGTTGACCTCTCAGCCTTTAGGTGTTGGAAATGCAAGTTATAAAAATATGAAGAATAGATATGTATATGTACAAATATACAACATACATTTTTCCATGAACTCGATGTAATTTTTTTCAGGTAGTTTACTGTTTCCGTTAAAGCAAACCTTCCCCATAAATTGCCACATCTTGGTGATATTTGCCATAGTTGCCTAGCTTGGCCGACGGGTTGGCAAATACAGTTTTTTATTTTTAGTAGTTATTAGGAAAATACTGCAACCCACCTAGTTTTCTTCCTGTGTCTTACGATATAGGGTAGTGGAAAATCTTACACTGCCATTACGCGTCGAATGTTATTTATGTTTGTCTATTAACCCAAAAGCCAGTACATCAATTGATGAGCTTTCTTTCATTCATTTAACCTGTATAAGGAAAATATTTTTTTTTTGTTTTTCAACTGTTAAGTTCAATTCATATCGGAGGTGAAAGTTTGGTGACCAGATTCACAGATTTTGTACTACGTACCATGGACACCACACCCTCACATTTTAAAATAAATTTATCATGTACAAAATCTTAATGCTGATAGATGACGCTTAAAATTTGAGAAGTAAATTGAAGACTATTTATTTATTTATTAAAATTAATGTTGTTGCTTATGGTTTTAGTGCAATTTGTACAAAATCGCGCGGGAAAACTTCTAGCGTTGGTAGAAGGTCACACATTCTACCGGGATAAACAAAATACCAATACGCATGTCTGGCGGTGTACAAAGGGAGGCTGGTGTAAAGCGCGTTTCACGTTGACCAATGATTTGCGCCTTGTTCGTGGCACCTTTAATCATGTTCATCAGCAGACGAAGTACATTGTTCGTGATGGAATTTATATTAAAATCTAAGATTCCTCAAATTATATTACTCGAATTTCATCTGCATATAAAGTAATAAAAATATTGTTTTTGTATTAGGAGTTTAGTGCATAGTATGATTATAATGTAATTTAATGTTGTTTTGAAGTTGTTGTCTATATCTAAGGTTTATTCACACCCTTATGTCTTCTTGTTAAAGAAAAGCTTAAATGTACGAGTATAAACTGTGTATAAACATGCATATTATGTCGGAGAAACAACTCTTCATTTAAAACAAGACACAGTTTTGTAATTAATTTAAAATAAAATTATACTGTAACGTTTTATATTATTTATTTCTTAATAAAATTCCAAAAAACGGTTCTCGAGTGGCAGCCTCTTACTGGTAGGCGAAGTGTAGGGCGACCCCCCACTAGATGGAGTGACGACCTGTTAAGAGACATACAGGAAGTCGATGGATGCTGGTGGCTCAGGACCTTGCTTTGTGGCATACCTTGGGGGAGGCCTATGTTCAGCAGTGGATTTGTGAAAGGCTGTAATGATGATGATGATGATGAATAAAATTCCAAGATACCTAAATTGGTTTTAGAATCGAACTCTAATATCACAAGTTGATTTAGAATTACTTTTATTAAATCTTCTGCTTAGACTATTTATAAAATCGAAAATCAAATATGTGGTTTGTGTGTAATTCTAACTTTGAAAACATTTGCACAGTACAATGGGTTAAGAAGCGTACCGGGAAGCCGCTGGCGATCATTGATCGTTTTACTTATTACTGCGCCGTGAAGTCCACCGCCACGAGCACCTGGCGCTGCACGAAGGGAGGGCAGTGCAAGGCCAGATTCATCGTCAACAACAACATGGAGATCACACGCTCGTCCCTCCTTCACGATCATCCACCACCCAATTACGTTATACGCCATGGAATTTACCTTAAAATCTAGATCATTTCTTCAAATCTCTTCTTTTATTTTATATTTTACATTTACATAAGTACGTTAAATAAGGCTTACGCAAAAAAACGTTACTAAATCTCTCCACTACGTCGATAAAGAAATTTATTTTCAAAAATAATTATATTAACATTTAACCTATATATATATATATATATATATATATATATATATATATATATATATATATATATATATATATATATATATAAAATGTTACTTTTTTATATAAAATGCTATGATATGTAAGCATAGTTATTTAGTATCTTTCAGCGTTATATTATATTGTATAAATATATTTTTTACGTGAATCAAAGTTGTTATTTTTATTATCATAACTAAATGAGGTGATTGCGAATTGCATGAACTTAGTAAAAAGTTCGCAATTATCTACACAATATATATGTGACCCCAGACATTTAATAATTATTTTTACTAATTTCAGTGACGTGGGTCCATAAGCCGTGCGGCAAACGTTTGGGCATTGTAAATGGTTACACATTCTATTTGCATAAAAGGAATTCCAAGTCCCAGATATGGAGCTGCACCAAGGGCGGAGGATGCAGGGCCAGGATAATTTTATCCTGTTATACTCACATCGTTACGCACGCTCTTACTGAGCACAATCACCCACCGCCAAATTTTATAATCGAAAATGGTTATTATGTTAAAGTTTAATATTATTGTTATCATTTTTTAATATTAGAGTGACAACGAGCTTACAGTCGATCTTATGGTAAGTAGCTGCTGACTCCTGAATCCTGCAACTATTTCAAACAAAGAAGACACCAGGTGCATTGATATTCCTGAGGAATAAGATGAAATGCTCCACAGCCTGTAATTATGTGGGCTTATTTTACCCAATTTGGCTTAAAATCGGACTAGACTCTTGAAAATAAACCCTAACCTCTTTTTAATAAATAATAATGTTTGAAAACTGTATTTTATATTTTAATAAGGAATGACTTATACCAAATTAATTTGTTTGCCTGCTGTAAAAATCCAATTTTACCAAAAAGAAATTAAATAAATAAAGAATAAAAGTAAATTTTGAAATAATAAAAAGTAGTAGCTTATTTTAATACTTAATTACTGACCAGAAACAATGGGTGCGTTTGGCAGAAAAAAGCGCTAGCAAGCGATTGTAAGCAAAATGGCGATCGTAAGCGGTAAGCGCTGTCAAATCGTAAGTAGCTATTTTCCTCCAGGACACGATGTTAGTTTTAACCGGGGAACCTAACCTAATTTAAATATATGTTTGTAAAGTATTCATATTAAAAACTTACCAATCATGAATTTTTAATAACATGTATATGTTTATTCATGTCATTATATTACTTAAAACGAATATTGCGCAAAACAACTTATAAACTCTACTTCAAAACAAACAAATTAAATAAGCAAAATGGCGGATTGTGTCAGCGCTACTGAAGTAGCAATCGGCTTCCCAATAACTACTAAAAATAAAAACTGCGGTTGCCAACTTGCTTGCCGAGCGTGACAACTATGGCAAATATCCCCTGTATGAAGCAATCTATGGGGGAGGCCGTCCAGCAGTGAACTTAAATGGGCTAGAACCGAACGGAACGTATGTAGATATTCCGCTATCCTACCTATCCTATCCATGGAAGGGTGAAATATTTATGTAGCGCGAAATAATTATGTAACGGGGCCCCGTTACGTAATTATTTCGAGAAGCTCTTATTTCAGAAACTGTTATGTGGCAATTATTTCATTATTTTCTAATTTACTATAGTTGTAGCACGATTGGTCGGCTCGACCGGGGAAGAACCACACTCTCACAGAATACCAGCGTAAAATAGCAGCTTAATACTGCTGTATTTCCTATGGTGAGTGTAGAGATCCGGAGACCTGTTTTGACTGGAAACGAGGTATTCCCATCTTAGTCCTCAGAGGTGATAACGCGTCTGCGTTTAGATTCTTAATCGAGGATAAATGTAGATGTCTATGGGCCACGGCATCCTTACCATCGGGTGTACTGTGTACTCGTTAGTCACCCTTATTCTATAAAAAAGTCTGCTGTCTGCTGTACTTTTATTACAAGTATAAATTTTATGACAAGAGAACTAGATAATATCACAACTTCGAGTTAAAAGCTAGAATGTCTTTTACTTAGTTAATAAAAACTTCTATCACTTATGTTTCCACCCTTTGGATTGGATATTTTTCCAAATTAGTTTTTGATTTGGGACCCACCCTAAAGTTGAACCTTATCAACGAAGAAAATATTCGTTAATGCCGGTTCACAATTGAGAAGTTATCGCGTAAGATACATAAAATTAAAAGAACATGCAGTCGTATTCTATCCTTCTCATTTTTTTAAATATCAAACGTCCCGCTTGGCCCGCGCAAACACAACACATACCGCCCGCCCAGAACATGGAACGATATATAACGACCGAATCGTAATAATAAGACAATAGAAGTCGCCTAGACGCGTGACCTTGTCGCCGTTATGATGTGTTGACGAACATCATTCACCATTTTGTGATTTAGTTGCGCGGGGAACGTCGTACGTGAATTTATGTTATTATATTGGTGAACTGCAGCATAATCAGTAGTAAAAACTTATCAAGGACGTGTAATTCAACTAATAAAGTCATAACATTTTATCGGTAAGTTGATTATTTACTAATTATCGTTGTTTTAAGTAATTTACATCTAGATGAATACTTTAGTATGATATTTACCTTTGTAAACTTTCATTTATTACTTTTCGTATTGTACAATTACCATTGCTTATTTTGTTCTACCGTAATACACAACGCACGCGATGTTGACAGACTCGACAAGCAATGTAATATGAAACATTAGATATGATTGTGCATTGTGTATGTTTCTAATACGGCTGCAGGCATCGGTCGCTTAATGCGTATGTGTTAAGATGTGGCAACATCTATTTTTGTTTTAAAGAATATTAACAATGCTATAAACATTACTAATTTTCCCCTTCCCCTTAACCACTCGTGGTAAGCTTAAATTGCTTGTGTTACGTGTGATTCACGCCAGTAGTCGAATGGCGGATTCGAACCCAGGATTTTGGAAGTAATGGAGCGCTAATTCATTTCTATTGTCTTTGTGTGGATACGAGTTAGCCGTTAGAGCCGCGGCTCGACCCTACTGCTTGGACGGCGATTAGATAACTCATCTGTACACTGATTTTCAACCTAAATAAATTTTTTGTTGTTTAACTTGTGAATCTGTATGTCTGTCTGTGACATCGTTGTTTCTAAACGGAACTGATTTGGATTTAGTTTTTTATTTTTTAAAGGTGACTTGATTGATTCGGCTGTTTGAAAATCCTCAACTCTTTTTTTTTCGGGGTTTTTAAAATTTAATATATGTTTACAGGTAAACATTGAACACCGTTATAAAATAGTAACGTTCAGACATCATCATCATCATCATCAGTCCCCCGTTTTTATAGCCGTCCGATGAAGCCGGAAAAGTCAACTGGCTAACAACACCTTTACAAAAAGTATATGGTATAAAGTTTTGGTTATACAACGAAAAGAAACGAATTCGTTGAGAACAAGTGAAAAATTAAAAAAAAATACATATTCGAAGTCGTTTCATATGAATGTTTTTCAGGTGCAGTTTTTGTAAAGACAACGGCCGGTAGCAAATTAATACTGCTGGAAGATTATACTTACGGTTTCTATAGAGACTGCAAAGCAAAACATGTAACCTATTGGAGATGTTCTACACACAATAGCAAAAAATGTCGCGCCAAACTGGCCCTCAATGCTTTAAATGAGGTTATAAAGTTGAATTTGGAGCACAATCATAAACCACAAAAATATTTATTAAAAGACGGTCTGTTTGTTCGGTGTTAACAATAATATTTAATGTTTATCATGTAACTGTGTTCAAACATTCATTTCCGTTAGTTTGTTTTTTTCTTTCACTAATAACAAAATTAAATATATACAAACAAAAGAAGAATTTGATTTAACTTTCACATTTCATTCCAATTTTTATTTATTAATTCATTACAGCCTTTCAAAAGTATAGTGCTTAACCTATTAGGTTTTTAGCATAGTGACACAAATATTACTTTATTTACTACAAAAAAAGGTACACATTCTATTGAGATAATTTGAAAATACCCCACGGTTCAATTCGGGAACAAACGGTGCGTTCCATCTCAAGAATCTATAACAATTTGGTTTCTTGACATTTTGAATTGAAATCAAAACATCACCACTGTAAATAAATGACGAAAATAAAATTTTGAAAATTTTCATATGAAAATTAAATTATTTTTTTTATTTAAATGGTTCTCATAGAAACGTTTTAAAAAATACTGATTATAATTATAACAACAGATAACGTCATAAATAAGTGCAAAAAAATGAGAATCGTCAATTAATTTTTTTCCCTTAATCAACATGTTTGGCCCGAAATGGTGCGCTAATGAGGGAGGTTTTTTTTGTTTCTTTGTAGAACTGAACAATTCACAGATCTAAAAATACCATGAACTCGACTTTGGGAGCTATTGGCAACAAAATTATACGTGGTAAAGTCGTGCTGCAGTTATATTACTCGTAGTATAGTTGTAGCACGAATGGGTCGGCTCGACCGGGGAGGGACAACGCTCTCACAGAATACCAGCGTAAAATAGTAGCTTTATGCTGCTGTGTTTCGTATGGTGAGTATAGAGAACTGGAGACCCTTTTTACTGGAAACGAGGAATTCCATCTTTGTCGTCACGAATGACAACGCATCTGCATTTTGATTCGTAATCGAGGATAAATGTAGATGTCTATGGGCCACAGCAACCACTTACCATCAGGTGGAATGTGTGCTCGTTTGTCACCCTATCCTATAAAAAACGAGGAAACCTCAATTTGAAAATAAAAAGGCGGAAAATTTCCTTTTGCCATTTAAAAATTAAATCCAAAAATATTTCTTATAAAAACATAACTTACTTGTAAAGTAGAGCAATCCAAAAGTGAATTATACTTATATATTTCCTTAAAGAACTTAGAAAATATCTTAAGTTACACTTTCATAATTGATCTAATTAACATGAAATTATCGAAGTGTAAAGTTTGGGTGTAATTTTATGAATTTAAAATAATCAAAACGGTTTACGTAACACGACTTTTGTCCGAACCATTTTTGAGATGGAAGACGCCATTTCGTCCCCATAGTGCGACGTCGGGCTACGCCGTGCCACACGACGCAGTGGTGCTTCGTTGGTATGCGCTGCGTGCAAGTGCGGGCGCTGCGCCTCGCGAAGCAGCGTGATGCAGCATGACGACGCGAGGCGCTGCCTGAAGTCGTAGTGGTCTTGTCTCTACTATTTTCGAGCTGTGCCGCGCGATTTTACGATGATTCTCGCGGCGCTTACGCTGTGTGAAACCATTGGCCTCTTCAAGCAGCCCGTCTCTGTGTAAACTGGCCCGTCATTTTTGTACTCTTTATACTTTCATATCTATCTTTTTACATTAAGAAACAAGTAGAGATTGATTCAGAAAGAGATTGACCAATCAAACAATTAGCCAGATTCTATACTGAATAATTACATTACTTCTTATTTTAATCAAATATTGGTACATAAGTGTAATTTGAGTCCGTTTTTTCTTTAAGGCTTTCGCAAAATAGGCAAAACTGGTATTCGCTTTGGCTCCTACACTTACCACTGCAGACGCCGCAACCGGCACCGAAAACGCTGGTACTGTAAACACAGGACAATTACCAAATGTAAAGCTTTACTTGTCAGCATAGGAAAAACTATTGTCGCAACACATGACGGGCATAATCATTAGAATAAAATATATTTAGGGTTCCGCTACTTACATATGCCTAATAAAAAATACATGAGGATGAATTTGATTCCATACTCGTATATCATTCCCAAAACTTATTACCAACTAAACAATGTTTCTTTACTATGGAAGTAATTTTTGAAGTATTATTGTATTTTTAAGAGGTAAGTGGATACTGTGAAACATAGACATATATTTTTAAAATCAACTAAGAATTGAATTGCTAATGCGTGGTCACCGCTGAGGACTATGATAGAGTGCCTCGTAACCAGTAAAAAGGTATTGCGTATAGTCGACAATGGGTGCGTTTGGCAGAAAAAAGCGCTAGCAAGCGCTCGTAAGCAAAATGGCGATCGTAAGCGGTAAGCGCTGTCAAATCATGACACGAAGTTAGTTTTAACCGGGGAGCCTAACCTAATTTAAATATATGTTTGTAAAGTATGCGTATTAAAAACTTACCAATCATGAATTTTTAATAACATGTATATGTTTATTCATGTCATTATATTACTTATAGCCAATATTGCACAAAACAACTTATAAACTCTACTTCAAAACAAACAAATTAAAACAAAGCAAAATGGCGGATTGTGTCAGCGCTACTGAAGTTAGCAAACGTGTCCTGGCCGAAAACTGTTTATATTCGCCATTTTGCTTACAAGCGCTTGCTAGCGCTTTTTTTTTGCCAAATGCACGCATTGATATTAAAAATTCCAAAGACATATGGAATAAACCTAAAAGAAAGAATCCGCCGTTCTCTGTCAATACGTGTTGGCGGGTTTCATGTGTCGTTGGAATATTTTATTTGTATTTTATTTTGGAAAATTCCCTTAAAATTAGAGGAAGTCTATGCTTGGCAGTGGGACGTACATTATAAGGCTTTTTTTTTTGTTAAATTTTTTATATAAAGTTCTTTAATGCGCCAGTAATTTCTAAGAATAAAATGCATTACAATATTATGTCTTCATAATAGAAAATATTGTATTACTTGTTCTTCAGTTTTTTCATACAAAATCATGTTCCTTACTTGTTTCAATGTTTTAGTATTTAAATGTTTCTTGCATACATTTTAAGTTTGGTTTATATTAACAACGTAAAGAGGTTCAATTTGTTTGTTTATTGAAATTATTAAATTGTATATGTTTATAGTCGTGGACTTTTATTTTTTTACATAAAATATTGTTTGTAAAATAAAATAATCTGTGAGGAGCTAAAATATAACTAGATGCATATACCAACTACAATTTTAAGCACTTGCCAGGGTTGACTGGCAGAGAATTTCACATGTCCGCAATGCACAGTTTATTTTCAGATGTTATCGCTAAATACTGATTTAATATTAATAATTAACTTATAAATATTTTTTTCCTCGGCTAAGTGTAAAACTGCTCTTTACAGATTTCCACTTGATTCCTCTTCCTACTGGGCGATACCTCCTCCGTATCGGTAATTACACTTACTCTACAAACTGCAAAGATATATCATCTGTGAACTCAAGCTGGTACTGCTCTAAGAGGGTGAGTAAAAAGTGCCGAGCGCGCGTCAAAATGTACGCCCAAAAGACGACGCTCCTCATAGGCGAGCATACCCATAGCTACTGAACGTACTATAAAGTATGTGCGCACGAATATAAGTATGAAATATAAATTTACTTTTGAGCTTCTGACAACAGTCTTTTTTTTAACGTCGCTGCTAACAATTATTAATTTTGGAAAATATTGTTTTAGTTTTATATCCGTATGTTGGTTTCCTTATTGCTATCTAGGGGCTTAGTCAGAGAATCCTAAGATACCCAATTATTATGAAGGCGCTGAATGTGACACCATGCGGGCTGCACCCGCCGCTGTTGGAGCACATCGCATGCGTTGGACGAAAATGATGAACGCAAACGCATTTCGGGTATATTCTAGCGCAAAAGGGGAAGAAAATTGAAAGGATGGCGTTACGACTTAGGTACCTTCAAGAAACGAGCTCACTACTTTCTAAAAGATCGACAGCGCATCTGCAATTTCCCTCGTGTTGCAGTTGTTAATGGGAGGCGGTAACTTACTATCAGATGAGCCGCATGCCCGTTTGCACTTACTTCTATTAAAAAAAATAAGAAAACAACATAATTTTTTATCAAAACGATATTAATAATAAGTTATTTCGAAAAAGTTAAACATAGGCAATTATATTGAAAAATACCTGTTACATTTTTTGAAATAAATATTACTTTTCACAGGACTGATTAATCACCCCAATAATACGAATAAATAAAAAGTAATATGGGTTTCACTGGCAACACTGATGTTCTATCTTGAGATGTTGTTTGTTCACATGTAAAATTGCCGACTTTAACAATAGTGATTTTATTTTGTTATAAAAAAACATTTCATGATTCTGAAGTTAATCAAGTCGTTAACAAGTAAACAAGTCGTTTCGTCCAGTGGTTCTGGAGATATTTTGGAAAAAATCTATTCCATGTTAGTCTTCGGGGAAGACAAAACGCATCTGCATTTTGATTCTTAATCGAGATGGCGGTATAACTATTTCGTTTACTGTACTTTACTGCCTCGTTGGTCAAGTGGTGGTGAAATCAACTGCTAATTATGTGTTCCTGCGTTCGAATTCCGGGTCGGGCCAAAATCAGTTATGATTTCTTATATTTCCGCGAACACTACACATTTAAATTAAACTAATTTTTACGAATTTTAAGTAAGAATAAGTTAATTTGCGCGATAAAATCATTTGGTAACGTGAAATCAACTGCTAATACTATTTGTTCCTGCGTTCAATGGGTCGGTGTACTCAGAATTGAAAGTTAGGATGTTTTATATTTCCGCGAATACTACACATGTTAAATGTCAAACGAATTTTTACAGACTTTTAAGTAAGAATAAGTTAATTTGCGCGATAAAATCATTTGGTAGGAACGTCAAAATTAGTTTAACCAAAAATATTTAGGTTTATTTATGTAGGTGTACTCAGAATTAGAAAGTTGGCGGTGTTTCACTCCTGCCTCGGAAAACACGTACAGCATGCGTACTAACATATGTCAGAGGAGTCAAAGACAAGGTTGGCTACAGCTTGAAGCGAGCTTCCACTAAAACATACTTCAAGCCGTTGAAGAAGATTAGTATAAATGTAATGTAATATACGTAATATTCCTCTACAAGATGCAGGAGTGTACAAGCTTGACTGTGAATGAGGTCTCTCTTATATACCGGACAAACAAAAAGAGCTATAAAACCCCGCGTGAAAGAACATATGTGCGTAACGAAGCTAACGTAAAGCACCGACGCTTCGAAAAGTCTGCGATCTGTGAACATGTTCAAGATTGTCACCACCATTACATAAGATTTGATAATCCTCGCAAAAGAACACCGATTCCTACCAAGGTTGATACGCGAGGCTATTGAAATTTAAAAAAAAAACATCCCAATTTCAATAGAGAAGATGGGATGGGTGCTGCTATCTGCATTTTATAAATATATTTTATTTTACATCTAAATAAGTTTAAATTATTTTTGTTATTTCTTTAGATTACGAGCTTCTTCCTCTCCGGTCTGGAAAATACCTGCTACGTGTCGGGGAGTACACTTTTTCAATTAATTACAAAAACCCGATCGGTACAAGTGTCTGGTACTGTTCGAAAAGGAGACGAAAAAAGTGCCGGGTGTCTGTCAAAATGCATGATGATGTGCTTACCGCTATAGTCGGAGAGCATAACCACAAATAATAGCTTATTGCGTTAATTTATATGCACATTTATTTCTACCCTATGTTTGTTACTAGCATCGAAAGCATTTTTAGACGAATAAAAAAAAGAAAAGATTCTTAATTCGACTGTATGTTTTTTGTATATGTGTTACGCGATGTCTTCTTCGATTGTGAACCGGTATTTTTTTATTTTTCATATTTTTTATTAAAAACGTTATACTTTAAATATGGGCCCATATACATTTGAAGAATAAATAGCACCCTAAAGGTCGTTTTTTTGCAACTCGCCTACTGGGTTCCTACTTATAACGTTGTAGAGTAGCAACGTGCGCATACCTTGACTGTAACCTTATTCCTCAGACATGCTGGTTTCCTCACGATGTTTTCCTTCACCGCCGAGCACGTGGTAAATCAGCACTTAAAATTGCAATAACAATTTCATTGGTGCCGGCGGGGATCGAACCCGGGTTACTCGCGTTCTGTTATATTTACAGCGAGCGTTAACCATCTGAGCTACCACGGCTCTGCTTTTGATGTCGCAGCTTTAAGTTTTTTACACCCTGTCTTATTAAGAGAAATTGTTATTTACTCTATAAAAGTCTTTGGAGGGTTCAGAAATTCAATTTCAATTTAATATTATCTTTTAATTTTAAACATCTTTAATAAATCTACTTAAATTTGGAGGGCCCTCGTCTTTCTCTTTTGTACTCGTTGTATCTTCTAATTAACTTTCTGTTTATTTTATTCCAGAACAACTTATTCTATTGCCAACCAAGAGCGGTAATTACAAGCTGCAATACGGTGATCAAACATTTTGGTGCAACTGGTATAAATCGAATCCCAACGAATACAAGGCATTGCGTATCTGGTATTGCTCCAAACGCAGCGGGAGGAAGTGTAAAGTGTATTTGAAGACCTTAAATGGTAAGCTGAGGTCTGTACACGGTACGCATAATCATTAAGGTTTGACCAACTTTGTTATTCTTTATGAATTACAATAATACAATTATTCTTCAATAATATCAAAGTTGGGAGGTATTGTAAAAACTGTCAACTGCTTATGTACAAAGTAAACCTAAAACGCAAATACTCAGTTCTGTTATGCTTTCGACATAGCAATGCTATCGAATAAACAACTTTCACGGATTTTGTTGCGTTTAATTTTACTTATTTTTAACTCCCGACATTTAGAGTGCTTCATGAGGAGTAAGGGGAGCGTACTAAGGTTTGACGTCTCGATGTCATAGTTAACCCGGTATAGCTCACGGAGTACATTATATATTGACATATAGCTTCAGCTTTTAGTTATTAATACACGCAGAATAAGCTCACAGCTTTTTGAAGTCTTGTAGTTATGTGCTTGAGCTTATATTTAATTTGCTTAATTACAGGATCACAAGCTGGTGTTACTCCTGACACCCAGACACCTTCTCTATTGAAATTAGGATATGTTTTTTTTTTTATTTCAATAGCAGCACGGATCATCCTTCTTAAATGTTGATGTTCTTTCGCGAGATTTATGGTCTGTCACGACTATCTGTCGTGTCGGGGACCGTCTAGGATTTGATCACAGGCTGCAGGCTTGCCGGTGCGTTGGTATTTCGTATCAGCTATAATAATAATAATTTTACAATAAAACTAGTGATTCCTGGATCTTGACAACAGCGCCACCTACCGAGTCCAATTGAGTTTTTAAACCATCAATGAACCCACTCAAATACACACAAAAATTCTACAGAGTAATTTTATTATTTATTATTTTCGACCTATAATTAAAAAAAATTCACTTTCGTTATAGCCCCCGCAATCCTATCGTAAAATTCGTTCTTAGCTGACCTCTACGGCGAAAGGAATATTTCTACCAAATTTACTAAGTTTCTAGATATCGATCGATCGATAGATTCTAGATATCTTTATCTATCTATCTATATATATATAACGACTATATTGAATGTTTTCTTAAAATACACGTTAGATTTGTATACATGTTTAACAATTTTTATTCATCATTGTTAAGCATTCTTTAAGTATAATGCAGGAACTCTACAAATAAATGACTTGTTTGGAACATTGTGTATGTAAGGCTGGTTTTTAACCGAGTTACAAAAATTACAAGGTTGTATATTCAGAGCGTATGTTTTTATCTATGTACATAAAAATATTATATAATGTGTATTGTTCGCGTACATTTAAGAAATTCATTTATGTTGAACTTATGATGTTCTTTATTTCCACTCAAAAGGGTACACGTAAAAAATTAAGGGTTAAATTAAAGGGTATAATTAAACTTTAAACAATTTAGAAGACTGACTTCAAAAACAATAAAGAATAAAAGATTTCCACAATTTTACGATACCATTCGATACACTATGTCTTGACATCGACTTCAGAAGCTATGGAATATTTTCTTGTTTTTTATTCTTGAAGTCAGCTTCACTTTTATAAAAGCTTAATTACTGTGTATATTAATAGTATTAGACGTCGGTGTGAATTTTCCGTCTCTGTAATGTGTATATATGAGTAGTGCATAATTAATTTCATATATAAACATGTTTAATGATTTCGCTCAATATTATTTCCTATAAAAAATAATCCATCCCGCGTTTAGTTCCCTTGTTATCGTTTAAGCACAGAATATATAACCGTACTACGTAGTATATAAGGCTTGCGTAGATAAAATGATATTAATTACAAGTTATTTCGAAAAAGTTAAACATTAAAAATACATGTTACGTTTTTTTAAATTAATATTACTTTTTAGGGGACTGATTAATAACTCTAATAATACGAGCAATTAAAAGGTACTCTGTGGTCTACTATTATTTAATAAAAAGTACTCTGGGTTACACTAGCAACACTGATGTTCTATCTTGAGATGTTGTTTGTTCACATGCGAAGTTGCCGACTTTAACAATAGTGATTTTATTTTGTTATAAAAAAAACATTTTGTGATTCTGAAGTTAATCAAAAACAAGTAAACAAGTAGTTACGTCCAGTGGTTCTGGAGATATTTTGAAAAAAAAATCTATCCATCTTAGTTTTCCAGGGTGACAAAACGAATCTGAATTTTGATTCTTAATCGAGGATCGATGTAGACTACAAAGGGATAGACCTAGAGCATCCACTTAACATCTGGTGGACTGTGTGTGTATATTACCACAATTATAGGGCCTGATAGAATTCATGGATACCAATAGATGGCGGTATTACTATCTCTTTTACTGTGCTTTACTGCCTCGTTGGTCAAGTGGTCGTGTAAGCAACTGTTGATCATGTGGTCCTGGGTTCAAATTCCGGGTCGGGCCAAATATCAGTTATGATTTTTGTTTTCTTTTTACGCGAACATTACACGTTTAAATGAAATTAAATTTTACCTTGTATCTGACCATTAAAGTACCCCCATGGTAACAGGGTGCTGTAATGTAATCAAAACGTTGGGAATAAAAAATAAGTTAATTAAAAGCGATAAAATGCGTATAAATAATTTTATTCGATGTAAATTGATTGAAAATTCACTTTTCGTAAATTTCAATTTTTTATTATTATTCTACTAGCTGTTAAAAATTAAATCTGAAAATTATTTGTTTTAACATTATCCTTTTTCCTGTTCCACGACATGATCGACTCATTTGGCAAATTTCGTTAGAGTTCGTGCAGCTGTTAACGTATGATTGAAGAACAAACTTTCAAACAGATACAGTTTAACATTTATGATATTAAATAAAATGAAATGGAAGTACCCAAAAGTAAAAGCCTATAAATTGACCTGCCGTCATTTTATAAATCTAAATCTTTTAACAATCGTGTAGTGGCGGTGTAAAATATCCACTACCCCATATCGTCCCGCGAGTGTCGTAAGAGCATACAGAGGGAAACAAATCTGGATATGGGCAGTAGCGTCTTCCAACCGCCTGCCAACTGTGGCAACTGTGGGGAATATGAGGCAATCCATGGGGGAGACCTATGGACAGCAGATTGTGACCTATGGATTTTCGATAGGCTGTAAAATACCGTTATTTTATAAATATATTTTATTTTCTTTATAATTATAATTTTGAGAGTTGGGGTTGGGGAGTTCCCTGCACTGTATTGTGAAGAGACAAAATGTGTCGAAAAAGGCACGTATGGCAATTCACAATGCTGTGTTGGTCCCTACTTTAACGTATGGTAGTGAAAGTTGTGTGTGGCAAAAGAAGCACGAGAGTAGAATGAACGCAGTAGAAATGCGGTCGTTAAGGAGTATGTTAGGGCTGAATCTGAATGACAAGGTGAGAAATTGTGTGATAAGAGAAGAGTGTGGTTTGCAAGATGATGTTGTGACCAGGATTAGGAAAGGAATGCTTCGGTGGTTTTGTCATGTGGAAAGAATGAATGAGGAAAGAGTGACAAAGAAAATTTATGTTGCAGAAGTGAATGGTAGAGTCGGAAAGGGACGTCCTAGGCAAAAATTTATCGACCAAATTGGCGATTTAATGAAAACGGGCCAAATTAAAGAGTACCCTTAACCGACTAGCATGTATGCGTAGGTATATGGATGTCAATGTCAGTATCGTGCCAAATGGAAGTCTGTAGTCTCTGCCTACCCCTCTGGGTGACAGGCGTGGGTGTTTATGTATGTATGTATGTTATAAATTTGAATAATTTTTATTATTTCTTTAGATTACGAGCTTCTTCCTCTCACTTCTGGAAAATACCTGCTACGTGTCGGGAAGTACACTTTTTCAACTAATTACAAAAACCCGATCGGTACAAGTGTCTGGTACTGCTCGAAAAGGAGACGAAAAAAGTGCCGGGTGTCTGTCAAAATGCATGATGATGTGCTTAAAGCTATAGTCGGAGAGCATAACCACAAATAATAGCTTATTGCATTAATTTATATGCACATTTATTTCTACCCTATGTTTGTTACTAGCATCGAAAGCATTTTAGACGAATAAAAAAAAGAAAAGATTCTTAATTCGATTGTATGTTTTTTGTATATGTGTTACGCGATCTTCTTCGATTGTGAACCGGTATTTTTTTATTTTTCATATTTTTCATTAAAAACGTTATACTTTAGATATGGGCCCATATAAATTTGAAGAATAAATAGCACCCTAAAGGTCGCCTACCTACTATAACGTGCGATACCTTGACTGTAACCGTTTCGGCACCTGATAAAATCCTTTGTATAATTACTTAATATGCTACTGCGCCTACTAGACATCGTAGCGTGAGCTATGACTGGACTGACAGCGACGATCTGGACATGGCCTGCATACTGAAAGCGTATACAATATGTATATAAAATATATTTCCACATCAGACCTTTTGATGTCGCAGCTTTAAGTTTTCTACACCCTGTCTTATTAAGAGAAATTATTATTTACTCTGTAAAATTCTTTGGAGGTATCAGAAATTCAATTTTTAATTTAATTTTATCTTAAATTTTAAACATCTTTAATAAATCTATTTTAATTTGGAGAGCCTTCCTCTTTTTCTTTTGTACTCGTTGTATCTTCTACTTAACTTTCTGTTTATTTTATTCCAGAACAACTTATTCTATTGCCAACCAAGAGCGGTAATTACAAGCTGCTATACGGCGATCAAACATTTTGGTGCAACTGGTATAAATCGAATCCCAACGAATACAAGGCATTGCGTATCTGGTATTGCTCCAAACGCAGCGGGAGGAAGTGTAAAGTGTATATGAAGACCTTAAATGGTAAGCTGACGTCTGTACACGGTACGCACAATCATTAACCTTGACCAAATTTGTTATTCTTTGATAATAATTCTTCAATAACATGAAACTCGGGAGATATTGTAAAAACAGTAAGCTGCTTATGTACACGGTAAACGTAACATACAAATATTCAGTTCTGTTATGCTTTCGACATAGCAATGCTAACGAATAAACAACTTTCACGGATTTTATTGCGTTTAATTTTACTTTAGACTTTTACTCCTGGCATTTAGAGTGCTTCATAGTAGTGAAGGGAGCGTTAGCTAAGGTTTGACGTCTCGATGTCATAGTTAACCCGGTATAGTAGCTCACAGAGTACATTATATATATTGGTATAGCTTCAGCTTTTCATTAGAGTGTGGTGCCACTCACGCTAAAATCGCGGTTACATTCTGCAGGCTGCCGCCGTGTTTGGCACCATATGTCAGCCGATTGAGATAGGATGCAGTCTTTCTTTGCGTCCTACCCTTGCGCGAGTTTGCTTCTCGCCGGACGATCCCAACGTTATTGCTGACTCTGTCGCTGTTGTGGTACTTCAGGGTATGGAACTTTTTATTCCTTCCTCTGTGGTGGTCATCGGAGGCAGATCTCAGCCATGGTTTAATCGTTCCCGTAAAATAGCATCATGCTATAAGCAGGAGTGCTACCGGGCCTGGGCTGACGCATCAACGTCCCGGGATGTAAACACCAGCGCCCTAAGAAAAGAAGTATAATTCCGCCTCCAGGTCCTTTAAAAGAGTCATTGCCAAGGCAAAGTCAGAGCACATAGGCAAAATTAGAGAGAAACTAGTTCGCCTTCCTTCTGGAACCCGTGCATTCTGGTCTCTCGCAAAGGCTGTCCAAGGGAATTTCTGTCAGCTATCTCTTCCATCGCTGCACAGGGAGGATGACTCACTGGCCATTGCCGCAAAGGAGAATCCGATCTCTTAGCTCTTTGTGTCCGACTCAACTTTCAATGATGGGGGAGTACACCGCCGACCATCCCGCGGTGTGAGTGCTCCATGCCAGATGTGCGGTTCACACAGCGCTCAGTTCGCAAAGCAGTCCTCTCCCTGGACATCCACAAGTCAAGTGGGCCTGACGGAATCCCCCCAATTGTGCTGAGGACGTGTGCTCCAGAGTTGGCACCGGTACCAACGCGTCTTTTACGGTACTCGTACTCCCTAGGCGTAGTCCCGAAATCATGGAAGATGGCTTTCGACCACCCGATACCTAAGAAAACGACCGCTCAGATACGTCAAACTACAGGCCTATCGTCATCACCTCTTTGTTCCCCAAAATAATGGAATCCATTTTAAACTGCCAGCTCATGCGGTACCTTGAGGATCACCAGCTGATTAGTAACCGTCAATACGGTTTACGTCGGGGTCGATCAGCTGGTGGTGTTCTGGTCCACATGACGCATCGATGGGCGGAGGCAGTAGAATCCAAGGGGGAGGCATTGGTTGTTAGCTTGGACGTAGCGAAAGCTTTCGATCGGGTCTGGCACAGAGTGCTTCTTTCGAAGCTCCTTTCCTACGGGCTTCCCGAGAAATTGTGCAATTGAATCACCAGCTTTCTTGCAGATCGGAACATCAAAGTCGTTGTAGACGGTGCATGTTCCGATTACAAGCCTTTTAATGCTAGCGTTGCACAAGGCTGCGTGCCTATCACCAACGCTGTTTCTTCTGCATATCAATGATATGTTGCAAAACGGGGACATTAATTGCTATGCGGATGACAGTACTGGTGGTGTACTGTACACCGGCTGTGCCAATATTTCTCGGGAAAATATCTCCAAGTACCGGGACAAACTTGTGTCTGATGTCGAGTCTTTGCTGAACAAAGTCTCCTAATGGGGACGACTAAATCTGGTCCAGTTTAACTCTCAGAAAACCACTAAAAGGAACCCCTTTGTCGTATCTCCTCAGTTTCAAGGCACTCCCCTTGTTGCCTCAGCCAGTATCGAAATCCTCGGCGTCGACATATCAAGTGACGTGCAGTTTCGTGGTCACTTGGAAGAAAGGGCCAAATTGGCCTATAAAAAGCTTGGCGTGCTATTTCATGCCTGTACACCTTTCTTCTGCGAACGGCCTCTTTGTGGAATAGTTTACCACCGGCGATTTTTCCGGACCGATACGACCTGGGGACCTGCAAGCAAAGTGCTTACTCCTTTCTAAAAGGCCGGCAACGCACCTGCAATTCCCCTGGTGTTGCAGCTGTTCATGGGCGGCGGTAGTCACGTAACATGAGGTGAACCGTAACCGTGCTCGTTTACCCTTCTCCTATAAAAAAACGAGGCATTCCATCTCAGTCCTCAGGGCTGGCAACTGGAAGATAAATGTAGATGTCTATGAGCCACAGCATCCACTTACCATCAGGTGGACTGTGTGCTCGTTTGTCAATTTTGTTCTATAATACACAAACATATAAATAAAATAACTATGACTATATTGAATGTTTTAGTAAGGTACTCGTATGTGGTAGTAAGTTTTACAATTTTTATTATATTGTTAAGATTTTTAAAGAAGAACAGATATATATTTTTATGAATATGTTTTTTTATATTTGGAAGACATTCTAGATGCTACATTGAACTTATGATATTCTTTAGTTCCATTCAAAAGAGTAATAAACGTAAAAAGTTAAATATTAAATTAAAGGGTATAATTAAACTTTAAAAAACCGACTTCAAAAACAATACAGAATAACAGATTTCTACTATTTTACGATACGATTCGATACACTATGTCTTAACATCGACTACAGAAGCGTTGGAATATTTTTTTGTTTTTTAATCTTCAAGTCAGCTTCACTTTTATAAAAGCTTAATTATTGTGTATATTAATATTGATTCTTGGTGTGAGTTTTCTGTATCTATAATGCATATTGCATAATTACTTTCATAAATAAAGATGTTTGATGATTTCGCTCAATATTATTTCCTATAAAAGATAATCCATTCCACGTTTTGTTCCCTTGTTGTCGTATAAGCACATAATACATATTAGTACTACGTAGGTTAAGGCTTCCGTAGAAAAGACTGAATAAAACTGTGTTCGTCAATCCACATGCAAAATGGGACGCCTTCATGTGAAGGAAAACATGTATCCCAGCCGTGATTTCTTACCGGCTAATGATACTAACTTTTATTTTAACAAATTAAAATAATTATAAATACGAATATATTGCATGCATATGTACATATAAATGTACCGTAAAATGCGGTGAATAGAAATAAATCTCGTTATTTGCTTAAGTTGTCTCTAGGTTTAACTACAGATTGGGAACGTGTGTTTATTTCTACTGTTATTTATATGCTCGCATATTTCCTTTATTTTGACAATCTTAAAAGACCTAGAGGCAGCTTTATCAAATAACCATACTTGTTTCTGTTCAACCCGTTTTACTAAGTATAATAAATATTTTAAATTTGTGGTAGCACTAATAGAACTGTTAGCGCATCCACAAATTTTGGAAAACGACCTTTAAATATAACATTGCAGATTTTACATACATTACTAACAAATAATAGAATTTTTGTTAACATATACATTTTGTTTCAGAACTCATTCTGCTACCAACGAAGAGCGGTAATTATAAACTGCAGTACGGCGACCACACGTTCTGGTGCAACTGGCACAAATCGAATGCTTACGAATATAAGGCACTACGTATATGGTACTGCTCCAAACGCAGCGGTAAGAAGTGTAGAGTGTATCTGAAAACCTTACACGGAAGGTTGATATCTATACACGGTATGCACAATCATTAAATTGAAATTAAATTATCAAGGCTCTTTTGTATTTGCTGTAATCAGTGCATCCAAACGAAACGTATACCTAACGTAAAAAAATGTAAAAAGCTAACGTGCCAACTAAATGCTTCCCCATCTTAGAGAAATACATTCTGCTTTAGCTATGCAGCATAGGCGTTCAATTTTAGTTCCATAATATTCTATGCATGTAATTATCAAGATTAGTCAACAATTAGTTTAAAAAAAAACCTGAGCATTTTCCGTGATTTGGGCGCGTAAACACAGATCAAAACGCCGTAGCACAAGCCTATAGTGATATAGCTGGTATATCTTTTGATTCACTAGCTTTGTTCACGTCTAGTTAACTATTTGATAAGTAATATGCATTGATATAGTTGAGATTCGTTGGGGTCACTCTCCAGACGCGAAGATATCGTAAGAAGAAACGCGAACTCGTTCATATACACATACATACAGGAACAGTTCGAAACCAAACAAGTCGCATTTAAAAATCAAGCAAATGTATACAGATTTAACAGAACTAACAATAGACTTCGGACACTGACTGAAAAATCTTAAAAATTAAAAGTAGCTTTCTCCTTTGTTCGATTCGTCGGTGAGAACTTTGCAGATCGTAAATAAAAACTAAAAAAGACATTTACCTATTTTAGCAAACATTTAATTTAATGAAGGTTTTTTACTGTACTTAAAGTACACATACACGCAAACAGGCCGTAACGTCTCAGTAACAGTACAGTGACTGTAACTGACACAATAAAGGGGTAGCGACTGTTTGAACGTCTTTTTGTTCGATGGTGGAAGAGTGGATTAGAAGTCATACATTATGTATCCTGTAAAATACCAAGAGGTTGACTATTTTGCGCCTATGCAAATATGCCCAAATCTATTATGTATTCATTTTAAAAATAATATAGCTTTACTTATGCTGACATTTTAGAAGAAAATGATAGACTCATAGACTCCTACGGCTGTATTTTTGTCAGTATCAAGTTGTAGGAATTTACTTATTTATATTTACGACTTTATAACAATTGACAAACAAGCAAGACTGTCGAAGACGACATTATCTCAAGTTTTTAAGGCGCCTGAGCGGACAAACTAACTTTATCAACATCGGAGCACTTGTTTCGACGTTTCACTAAATCGCATAACTATAATTTAAATCATAAAATAGTAACTAAAAATCCGCCGCTGGTCAACTTATCTTTATTATATTAAGAGAGATTATATTAAGATTGTTTTGCTGGTATACGTTTTGGTCTTGGTTTGTACACATAGGTTAGACTATTTAGATTTTAGATGCACTATTGTTAAAGGTTCTTTAAAAATATTACAACAATTCATATTATTAAATTAATTGTATCAACTTCTTAGGCAATTATAAACATTTGTGTGTTAGACTAGTTCTTATTCTTACGCGTTTTAAATAATATTAATTACTTGCATGCTTTTTATGTGTAATATTAGTGAAGCAAACAAATATGTAGTTTGCAATGCGTGTAAATGTAATGGTGTATTTCTTTCATAAATAAAGCTTTTTAATATTCTACGGATTAGTTTTTTTTTTGTAAATAAATTTAACATTTCATCTTGTCTATGGAAAATCTCAGAAAATTGTTCTACTTCTTATCATCTCGAGTGTGTCCACCATCTTCTTCACCAGCATCTTCCTAATAATAAAAAGCAGTTAACAACCAGCCTGCCAAACTTTGCAACTGTGGCGAATATATCCCTATTAGGCAATCTATGGGAAGGCCTATGTTCAGCAGTGAACTTTGGGCTTTAATGATTGAATGAATGGAAGCTAGTCACTGAATCCATTCACTGGGTGTTTCGTCCGTATACGTCTAGTGTTTTAGCGTATGTGTTCGATTACTGACTGAATTTTCGTAAGCGTATGCTCCTTACAACAAAAATATAAATATAGTGCATAAGTATTTGTTGTTCTGTGGTGGTATGTCCTCTTCCAAGACAAGATTCGGTCACCGCAGCCAATCACAACAGTCTCTTTGTTTTATTGGGGGCAAACGAGCATACATGAGGCTCACCTGATGGTAAGTGATTACCGTTACACATGAACAACTGCAACAGCTGGGGAATTGCAGATGCGTTGCCGACCTTTTAAAAAGGAGTAGCCTCTTTTCTTGAAGGTCCCTAAGTAGTATCGGTACGGAAAAAATCTCCGGTGATATTCGATTCTGCAAGGAAGTTGTGCGAGGAAGCACTTTTAAAAGTGCTTTTAAATCACACAGTGGTGGACCGCCAGTCATCCAGATGGTACGGATGGTATCGCGAGTTTATATTTGTTATACGGGGTAGAGCCACGCTGCAGTTATATTAGTAGTATAGTATAGTAGCTTCATGCTGCTGTGTAGAAGTGACCTTTTTTAGTGGGAACGAGGCATTCCGTCTTAGTCCTCACGGGTGACAACGTATCTGCATTTTGATTTGTAATCGAAGACAGATGTAGATGTCTACGAGCCACAGCAACCACTTGTTGTCAGGTGAACTGTGTGCTCATTTATCACTCTATGTACAAATTCTATTTTTGTAATTCGTACATTAAGTAATAATAATATATTACGTATATTTATTTCAGCCAAATTTTTACCAACGTCGGCAGGAAACTATCGGCTATGCTACAAAGATCATACATTCTGGTGCGATAAACGCAACCTGATGATGAGTAAGTTCTGCAGATGGTACTGTTCTAAGAAGAAGAGTAAAAAATGTCCCGCTTCGTTGCGAACAAAAGACAGCACAGTCGTCGCCGAAATAAATAGTCACAATCATGAATAATTCGAAATTGTATAGTTCAATGTTATGTTATTATTAAAATATCACCCAAAATAAAAAGCTTTGGTTTTCTTTGTCAATTTTCTTTAAATTGACTGAATAGTTATTGTAAGCTTTTATAATAAGCTTTGTTATTTATGTATTACGGAGTGTTTTTATTTTAAAATGTTTTTTTTTTACCATAATATATTTTATCTTATTATATTTAAACGAGCAATATATTATATGTATATCTAATTAGTTTCTAGGGAATGTTTCTAACATTTTGGATGAAATTTTGTATTTATCCTAAATACAAAATTTTAACTTTTTTATAGAATAAGGGTAACAAAAGAGCGCACAGTCGACCTGATGGTAAGTGAATGCTGTTACACATTACACCTGTATCTACATTCGATTAAAAATCAAAATAAAGATGCAGTGCCACTCGTTTAAGGCGGTCGTCCTTGAGTTTTTTAAAAAAATACCGAATATAACACAAATGTACTTTCATCTTTGTTTATCATAAAAGGGGGAATATAAAATCTTTATCTGATTTTATATTTAATTAAGTATAGGATAGGACAGATTTAAAAATTAGCTGTTATAGGTGTGCACGGGTCCGAGTGTATCATCAGATCAGCTCCGTAGTATCACATAATTAATTTAACTATAAGGAGTAGAATGTATATAATATATTTCCGCTCGGTTTAAAAATGTTTCCCCCATTTATAGTGCATGTTTTAACTTGTTATCAATGTATTAAAATTTTTCAGCTATTTTTATAACATCGCTGAGCGGTAAAGAACAAATGGTTTACGGAGATATAAAATTCTATAAGCAGTATGAAAGCGGAGTTAAAGTAAGATGGCGGTGCACGAAAAGACGTTGCAATGCTTTTTTATATACAGTTGAAGGGCGCATTATTAAACTGCAGACAACTCATAATCATTAATCACACGTAAATAATTAAAATTACTTCTGGATATTCTTGGTGGTTAAGTGATGATGGCACATCGCGGTACTTATTACACCTCGATTTTGATAATCGTTTACTTACACACGTACAATAATACATCGTGCAGCATTTTTCTGGTTATTTACGACAGTAATTGGTGTACCAAATCAGCCCTAAGATATTATAATACACAATATTTATAATACTATATAACTTTTAATAAAAAAAATGTACAAGCGTGTGTGTTTTATTGTATCTGTAAAAATTAAGGTCTTGTTTAAAATAAATTAATCGGGGTAGTAGTTTATATCAATGGGTAGTAGCAAGTAGAGGGATGTATGTATGTAGCATCTCCTTCCTTGTGATACACGTGGGCTGTTGCACTGCGCATTTCTTAAAGGGTTATAGTAAGGTAAGAATTAGTTCCCACGCGTCGCGTTATATTATGAAAGAAAATTCTTAAAATGTTATGAATAACATCTAAAAATTGTTTGCTGTTTATTTATAGAAATATATAATTATATTAAATATATTATAGAAAATTATAATTTATAGAAAATATTTTTTTGGTTTTATTTGGTATTTATTATGGGGTTAAGTAAGAGTAGTAAATAAATTTTCAGTGTAGGATATCTTTTGTAAGTTTTTTCTTATATAAAATAAATTATGTATAAATTATAATGTATAATATAATGAACGATATATACCTAAAAAAATATTTCTATGTATTAATTATAATGTGTAAATTACGTGTTATATTCTTGAATAATATATTTGTCTTAACTCTCTCAGAAATATGAAAGGAGGCTTGTGCCCGGCAGTGGAGCGTATATAAGCTGCAACTTTTATATCCTTGATTGTAATTAATAAAAATGAATATAAAAGTGATTCATTTTTAACATTTTTATTTAAAAAAAATATCTAAGTGTCTTTAGATGAGAGGTGTTTGACAGGGTTACAATTTTCAACTACCAAGACTTAGATATTGATTGGAATTGATAATGCATATACAGCCTTTGTTAGAATTAGTTAGGTTCCCTTACAGCGCCTAAATATTTGATGGTTTGTTGTAGGTTTGGCAAATTATGTTTCAAATGAAGTGTATCATCTACGTTCATTGTATATTTGCTATTACTTTTGCAGCGAAAATCATTTGTTAATTTTTTTTCAGCGCTCTTCGTGATGGCGGCAAACAACAAAGAACATTTGTGGTTCCGCGGCTACAAGTTCTACAAGCGGCTGGCAGTGAACGGCAAGATACGGTGGTGTTGTACCAAAAGGAAATGTCGGGCGGTGTGCTATTCCATCGGCCACGACATAGTCCGGCTACAAGACACGCACAGCCACTGACTGCTTAGTAAAAATTAGGCTTTAAAACGATTAAATAAGTTAAAGACAATATATTACCAAGTCCTCAAGAATCATGCGTTTCTATTCATATGAAGCATAAGTCTGCCCAATGTTTAAAAATAAATAAATAAGTTAAAAGTAATGTTACTATTAAGATACTATACAAGACATTGAGATAATCTTGTGCTGAATTTAGTTTGTTGTTAGGAATCAACATGTAATTGTTTTATTTAAATCAGTTGAAAAAAAAAAAATGAATTTTAGTGTGTGACAAGGCGGAAGAAAAGCAACCAAATTTTTGGATATATACGTGAAAAATGTATTATTGTAAAATTTAGCATAAAGAGAAAGTCTTGAATACTTTATTCCAAATAATTAAAAACGTTGTAATGTATGATTTACTTGCAGAACTCCCTGAGAGATATACACGTCACGCTCTGCTACGACGTGACAAAAAAAGGCGTTGCGTAGGCTGCTACAAAAAATTAAGGTTAACACTGAATAGCCTGCATGCTTCCAAAAAAGCCAAAAGAATAGTAACTTATTGCGTGAAATGTAATCAAACAATGTGTTTGTCATGTTTCAATGAAAAACATTTAGTTTAATATTTTTAAATAAAGTATCCCATTGAAAACTAATATTTCATTCTATTCCCGTAACCAGCCTTAACAACATAACACTATATTAAATTGATTATTTATTTACTCTGTAACTTATCATTATAGTTGTGGGCGAATCTATATAAAGATAGAGCAATTGATAATATACAATTCACTATATATTATATGAATACATATGTATGAGTATATGAATATATATGAATGTTTTTCTGAGGCTGAAAAGATCTCATATAGGTACGCACAGTAGTAAGCTTAACATAAGCGTCTTAATTGATCTCCAACGCACCGAGTGCAAATTCTTTGAAAACGGCCCCGCACCTAAAGTGTGAATATAATATATTATCATTGGGTTTTGTACAATGTATTATAAGCTTTAATGAAATAATTTTTAGGACCGCCATTAGCTACGCACAAATACATTTGTTATTGTTTAAAGAACAAATATTAATATTTTATAATTTAAAAAGATATATTTTGTTGTAAAGCATAATTAGAGTTTGGCCATAACAATCTTACAGATTAATGTGGCTAGAGATCATGCAACCAGCTTGTGTTTTCTACCACCATACGGATAAACTACTTATTGCTTTTAAAATTATTAACCTTATTTAACTAAATTGAACCCTACTTAAATTATAGTTATAGTGCATGCTGTGTTTACTGGTAAGTAGTCACTACACTAAGCTTAAGAAAATTTTCTGTTATTTAAGATTGTTATTGTGTAAGTTGACGGTGAGTAAGCCATATTAATAAAATAAAATTAAATACCGTACCGTATCACTAGTCCACTGCTAAACAAAGGCCTCACCATAGGTTGCCTAATGGGTTTATGGGTATGGGTAAATGGTATTTTTACATACACACTACACAATTTTCTGGAATACATAGTTTTGTTGAATATATAAAAGTGTGATTAATCATGATAACTGTGCCACAAATTATTTCTGTGCTGTTAAGCTACAAATTAACTTGTACCTGACCTGATATGAAGTAAATTTACGATAACTAACACTGAAAATAAATATTTTAATAAAAATTATTTCATAGTTATGTTCTGTGCGTGTGTATGTGTTATTTTTTATAGGATTGGGCGACAAAGTAGCACACAGTCCACCTGATGGCAAGTGGTTGCTGTGGCCCATAGTCATCTACATCTACCCTCAATTACAAATTAAAATGCAGATGCGTTGTCACCCGTGAGGACTAAGATGGAATGCCTCGTTTCCAGTAAAAAGGGTCTCCGGTTCTCTACACTCACCATACGAAATACAGCAGCATTAAGCTGCTATTTTACGCTGGTATTCTGTGTAGAGCGTGGTCCTCCCCGGTCGAGCCGACCCATTCGTGCTACAACTATACTTCTAATATAACTGCAGCATGGCTCTACCACGTATAAATTTATTAAATTTATTAAATATTAAAGATATATATTTTTTAACTGACTTTAGATTTTTATACAAGAAAAAAAGAAAAATAAAAGAAACTACAATAAAAGCAAATTAATGTAACAAAAGAGATTATGATATAATACTGTAAGTAAATACATTTATATCGTATCATTACGTATACATGTAACACATATTCATAATATATTATGAATAAGATTTATTCATACTAAGCAAGATTTTGAAGAAATTCAATTAATCTAACAGAAAAAGAAACAGATATATATACATTTAGCAATAGCATTTTTAATCGCAAAAAGTATTGAGTATCGAATCAACTTTTTTCATCTTAAAGGATACAATTTAACATTTTTTTTGTGTTACCGTATTATAAATTATGTAGTTTTATTATAATTATATTATTTAATCATTACATTTGACTATAAATTGTTTATAAGTAAGTAAAATTCGCCCAGGATGCACGCCGTGGTAATCTATAATAACGACGTATTGTATTAATAACATAAGAAATTCATAAAATACGCTCCTCAAAAATAATAAAATTTAAAAATATAAAATAAGCCCGGCCTTTGGTTTTACAATCAACCCAAGTTTGCTACTGTTTGAGCGGAGGGCTGCGGATATTAAGCCTTTGACTGCCGTGTCGGTCACTTTGTACGGAGTATTGCATTTGTGAGAGGTGTGAGTGAGGTGTAGTTTTTACGTGGAGACATCTTGTTTTTTTGCAAATTTTTGAAATCACTACGCCAGAAAGCAGTCATCGAGAAAAGCAACTGTTGCCAAGGCGACAATCAATTGTCGAGGATCCTATTGGTTGGCAACCTAGTAACACGTACTGTTTATTGGTCATGCCCGCGCTTTCCGATTAAAGGGATTTTATAACGTAAGGAATAATGTAAATCTTGTCAATCAAAAACAAATAAAATCAATCATTACAGCCTGTCAAAATTCCACTACTGTACATGTGTACATAGGTCTCACTCATAAATCACCTCATATTATTGATGTACGGTCCAAAAACCATACATTGTTTTAAGCAGTCGCGGCTCGAACCGCCGCGCCGCGAATTATTTATAATGCACGGTTTTTTTTATATCGAACTTAGTGTGTGTAATGAATTGTCAAAGCAATAACACGTGTGCTTCATACGCCATTCAAACTGACGTACTGTCGTCTTAAACTAACTTTAAAGTACTTATGTACTTCATATTAACTAAATTAACCATCAAAGAAGCTGTACGAGTCGCAAACTGTGGCCCCACACAATTGATATTTACCATAGTTGCCGTACATGGCTTGGGTTTGTGACTGCTTTTTTAAACAATTTCCCTCTGTCGCGATATATCGCGTATTCATATGAAAATATGTAGTGGAATTGTAAACCTCTTTCTTTGAAGCCGGCTAACAATAAAAGATAATAAAAGATATTTTTCAAGTTCATGTTTTCAATTTATTTTTTCTGTAAGCGAACATCGTATAAATTTAAATGTGTATCGATACTAAATGACAAAACTATTGTTTCAGCGGTGTTCCTAAGAAAACCCAACGGGAGGATAAAAATGATTTACAAAAACGAAAGATTTTACCAGCAAATGGAGGGCAAGGACAAGATCCGATGGCGCTGCACTAAGCGAGGCTGCAGGGCGTTTTACTACACCGTCGGTGGCGTTTTGACCAGGACCCGTGAGATTCACGACCATCCGAATCAACAGACCGGTGACGTGCCGGTGGACTACGATCTTGCCTAAGGAAGTTATGCAATTTCTTAGATTTTCTTATATATAACATAGAATGTTTAAAAGCAAGAAAATAAAATATAGAGATCTCAATAATGTATTATGAATTAAGAATATACTACTGAATTCAAACTTTAATTTTAAATAGGTATACGGATAGACTATACAACATGTAACAAAAACCCTGTAGGTCCTGTTACGTACGTTATCAGAATCAGTATTCAGGCGTATAGATTTTTTTTTTCAAAAAAACACATTTAGAAAAATTTAATGAAAAAAATAATAATTTACAAATTGTATGTGGTTTTATTATCTCTGCATTGGCCGAGGAGTAAGATGATTGTCAAAGATCCCGCGTTACCGACACTCGTGTGAGTTAAAGGAAATAAAACCAAATACAATTTGCAATTTTTTTTTCTTTAAAGTTATTTTTTTTTAAATGTCTTATACGCTTGAATACTGATTCCGATAACGCAATTAACGGGAACCACAGGGATTTTTGTTACATGTTGTATAAGACGGAACGAATCCCATTATTCTCGAAATTCATTTAATTTTTCGTGTTTAACTGGTATTTGCTATTATTATTGTATTACATACATAACTATTTAGGTGTTAGCTTTATTAGTGTGACAAAAAGTACGTAAACATGTGTAATAACTGTAAGCGTAGCGCATATAATTTTATACAGTACTGTTAAATAAATAATTTAAATTTGTATTGCTATTTCATTCCATATTTCCATAATACGTTCACTAAATCGCGTTATTGTTCACATTAGTGGTAAGCAGTATTAATATATGTACATTTTTGCTAGTGATGGTACTTTTGCGAGTGGTTTTGTGGAATTATCAGACCGTCTTCGTAAATATTGGCCACACGTGGCAAATAAGAATAATTTATTATTAAATGATTTGTTTCTAATATCCAGGGTCATTTTGCAATAACTGGCCAAATTTGTAGAGAAGATTCAGAATAAGTAATATAGGCAAATGGTGAAGAAAATTAATTAAAAAATCTGAAATATTATGTCCTTTTTATTTTTTAAATTCTAAATAGCTGATTGTAATATAATTTTAGGTAAGCCACATTTTGAGGATATAAAATTGTTAGTCAAACTTTACAAGGTGAGGTTCTCAGATCGATCACTCTCATCTCAATGTGATTGATCTCATAACTTCTCTACTTTTAATAATTAATTATGGATTTGAGAACTTTATGTAATAAGTTCAAGTATACCTAATGTAATTGTTTTTGGTGATGAACTAACGGAGAGAGATATTCATAGTGTGATTAAGCTCATTGATAAAGAAATAAAAAAAATCAAAATACGTGGTAATGAATAATTTAAATGATTTTACTGCGCACGTATACATTCGTAACGATCGATCGTTAGGCAAAAATGTTGTTGGCTATAAACCACATTGAATTTGGGATAATTTCAAATAAAAGTAAAAGCGTTATTTACTCGTATTTATAAAAACTGCAATAACGGTATATCGTTATTTATATAAATATTTTTTTATTATTTTGGGTTGTTATCTTAAAGATGCTTAAGCATATCTCCCGTTTTATTTCCATCTGGTCTCTTAACACCCGCGGGGGGATATGGGATAGTGGATACTCTTATACCAAATTAACTTACGGCGTCTTACGATACGTTAAAACGTTTTTATACGTTTAAACGAACGTTTTAGATACAGATAACTCAATGATTATTTTATGCGTGGTAGAGCCACGCTGCAGCTATATGGTTGTAGCACAAATGGGTCGGCTCGACCGGGGAAGCAACACGCTCTCACAGAATACCAGCGTATAATAGCAGTTAAGTTATATATATATATATATATATATATATATATATATAATAGTACACGTTTAGGTTTTATAGATCTTTATAAATTGGTTACTAAGGTGTAAAAGGGAACGATGCTTCAACGGCTCGGTTGATTATTCTTAGTGGGTATTGAGTTTCCTTTTCTGTCCTTCGGAATCCACAACGTAATATAGAAAATGGAATTTCTTACACAATATGTCGCCTTCATCATTACAACCAAGAAAGTCATTGAGTCCATTAATCGGTTCGTTTAAATATAATTACAAAAAATATTAAATATTCAAAAGTCAACTCATTCGAAATTATATGCTGCGTCTTACATTCTTTTCTATTTTGTTTATTCGTTTCTTTTTTATTTTATTTTAGAAGTTACTGCTTTTGTTATATTTATATATTTACTGTAAATATGTATATGATAATGTAACCGTATGTGTGGTATAAATATTTGTGTGTATATTGACTTAATAACTCTATAATAATGAATATCGTTAAGTTTAGTGTTTGTGAAATTTTCGTTGGCTCCCACGGAAGATCAGCGTCGAAGTACTTTGTAGTACCAAGACTATGCTGAGTTGGGTACCTTTTTAGTAAGCATTAGGCAAATTTATATTATTTTTATTTATGTAAGCATATTGCTAGAAATTCACTGAATGAACTTATTTTCTTTCTTTCTTCTTTCTTCGTTGCTGAACATAAGCCTCTTGTGGCATTCCTTAGGCTCTCCTAAGGCATGCCACAAAGCACGGTCCTGAGCCACCTCCAATTATCGACTTCCTTCATATCATACCAAGTCGTCACTTTATCTGATGGGGAGCCGTCCTTCACTTTGCTTACCGGTTAGAGGCTCCCACTCGAGCAAATTATACAAATATTTACCTCCATCACATTCAACCATATTTACCGTGTAGCGGCAGTGTCAGAATATCCACTATCCCATGTCATCCTGTGGGTGTTGCAAGAGGCGACGTAGGGAAATACATTAGATGGGTAGCAGTGTTTTCCTAGTAAGCGTGGCAGCTGTGGCAAATTCGGCTCCATAAGAAAATCTATGGAGGAGGCCTAAGTTCAGCCGTGGACTTAAATAAGCGGTAACGGTAACAGTCATATTCAGTTATAATATTTGTAATATCTGCAATGTACGATACTGCTTTTTTTTCTTTAAACGGAAATGGCTTGTTGGATTTTAAACACTTTAAACACTTTCCACCATTAGACTACCGGTTACCGGTTTACCGGTACCGGTAGACGGTCGGTTGATCTCCATTTCTATGTTGTCCATAACCCACACGTTTTTAATAAACCTTTTTTAATGCTTCGTCTTTCGTAATGCGTACAGTAAAGAAGTAGTTTCCGTCAGATTACAATGTAATTGTTTCCAAAAAAAAAAGAAAAGTTACAGCTTATATACGTCCCACTGCTGGGCACAGGCCTCCGCTTATTTCTGAGAGGGTTTTCGGGCAAGGAATTGTCCGCCGCGCTACCCCGATGCTCGTTGGCGAACTTCACATGTCTTCGAAATATCTTTTTTCTTATTTCTATGACATGCAGGTTTCCTCACGATATTTTACTTCACCGCCGAGCACGTTGTAAATCAGCACTTAAAATTGCAATTAACAATTTCAATGGTGCCGGCGGGGATCGAAACCGGTTTGCTCGCGTACTGTGAATTTTACAGCGAGCGCTAACCATCTGAGTTACCACGCTTCATATTGTTTCCAAAGTTAGAGTATATAGGCTTTTGTTATGCTAATATAATGCCATTAAGGGCTTCATCACCGCTTATCATCATGTGATAGTCGTCATGTACAGGCAGTACATGACGACTTTTGCCTTATGATAAGTATAAACACAAAATAACAAACTCGATGTATAAAACATTCATATGGCGATGTACTAGTAAGAACTTCTATCCCATATTACCTCGCGGGTGTTTTAAACCAGGGTATGGGCAACAGTGTCTTCCTAATAATAATAATAATAATAAAAATATTGCGGTTGGCAACCCACCGGTCAAGCGTGGCAACTCTGTTAAAAGTCACATGTTCAAAAATTAACTTTTGATAAACTGTAACGGTCACTTATATAGCTACAAAAGTCTTTTATTACATTAATGATTAATGATAACTTAGTAAATTACAATACATTGGATCATTACAGGTCATGTAATAAAAACGCATCGTAACCACAAGTTGCTGCTTCTTAATGGCTTTAAATACAGTATAAACGGCTTAAGCGCCACTGGTGAGAAAATAAGATGGCGGTGTTCCGTGCGATCGTGCTCGGCCAGGGTGCACACAATTGAAGGAAGGATTGTGTTACTTGTCGACGAGCACAGTCATCCACCTCAAAAACTAGATAGTGAAGACACATACAAAAAGTTAACTGCTCTTTATTTTTAAAAGGATACCGCTTTCTCGATTAAAACTTTGCTAGCTTATGGTAACACAAATTCATACAACACCTCAGTTCTAACTTTTTTACCGTTTGGAAAAATGTGTAACATGTAAACAAAACAGAAGCCTATGGTGACTGATATTTTACATTTTTTTTTTGTTTGACATCAACATATTATGAAATTGATCTATCAATAAATACTACTAATTGGGTGCGTATTATTTGAAATTTTTTGTATATTTTTTTAATTATTTAGTCCAAAATTTTTGTTTTTATTTTTATAGTATCGAAAGTTTTTTTTTTGAATTGGAAGTATTTATTTGATACATCAATTTCATAATATGTTAATTAAAAAAGACGTTTTTCCAGACGGTAAAAAAATAATGTTTAAACAATAGTCTTGTTGTTTTGTATAATATCTCGTATAGTGAATGTACTTATGTGCGTACATATTTAGAACAAATAATTAGAGATTTATACATACATATTTAGTCATTCATTTACCGGTAAGTTACATCAACAGTAGTACATGTGAGTGCTAGTAAAATATAAATCAAAAGTCCACTGCTGAAGATAGGCCTCCACCATTAATAGGCTCATTTTGCCAAGCGTGGCAAATATCCCCAAAATGCAAGCGGTTTGGCAACCGCCCCTTCCTATTTT